CGTGAGACAGGGGATGTGAATGAGTTAGCAAACAGTAAGTTCATGAAATGCAAGGTGCTTTTGTGAGACACGAGGATGGAAATGTTACATTACATAGTGTTGGGATGCAGGAGGAAATGAGAACGAAGAACATGCTAGGCCAAAGTCACAGTGGGCCAACATGTCAGCTATAGTCGGCAATTCTACAATACTAGGAAGCTTGTTTGTCACATGCCAGGGCTGTGTCATCAAGACTTTTATATTTTTTAATGGGGTTAGATTACATATGGTTATTTGTTTTCAAATTGGAATCTTCAGGGTCTCAATCCCAAATCACTAGTGGTCTATGGCTTTTAAAATAAGCTGTTGTTAGGGACACAGGTTTCTGGTAGCTTAACCTAATTCTTCTCTGGCGGAATGCAGTAAATGTCTGTCTTGCTCCGACAATTTGGTAAAGGCGTGTCCCACTTTAATGCAATCTGATATTCAAATCTATACACTTAGGAAACATTTATGCTATGATGAATATGCTCCAAGTGTTGCTAGTGTTTGGTTGTTTCAACACTTATCTTTTGTTATTACATAAATATATCTAGTAGTTTATATATGTAAATTAAAGTCCTTCTTCCCTCGTGTTAAGCATTCCCTAGATACATTCACTGTGTCTTAGATCAGGCTCTGACCAGTCTAGGCAAAACATTTCCTGATGTTTAAAAGTGGGCACTGAGCTTGCACCCAATTAGGAATTCTCCCTAGTGAAAAGAAAGGTTGGACTTCGAAAGAACTCAGAATTTCCAAAGGTCTCTCTTATTTGTGGACACTTTGTCTGTTCTGATCTAGCTCCTCACCCTTTTTATCCTTAGTGGTGAAGGACTCACATGCCCTTCTTTAGAGTCATCTCAAGGCACAGAGACACCCAAATAGCAAATGACGGATGGCTTTCTTTATGCCAGGGATCGAGTATGCAGATCACAATCCCTGCGTCTCATTCAATATGTAAATGGTGCCTAGAATTTAGCAAACTCAAGCACCTGGCAATTTTTATGATAACTCTGTCTAGGATGAGGGCTGACACGACACAGAGGCTTAATCTTCTCTAGCATCACAAACACCTTCACATACATGTGAAAACTAACCCGCAATGACTCTCACTCTCCCCTTTGTCTCAGGACGATAATGATTGGACATTTGATCTACCTCACTAATACCAGCCATCCAAACAATCACACCCATCTTAGCTATTACTAGTTGCTAATCTAAACCATCTCCGTTGGCTGAAGCTTAAGGGATTGATGCGACTTTCTCCAACTAGGATGAGACTCAGTGCAGAGACATAATCAAGGGCATGGTGTGATTATACTCATTTTGAATTCATTTCTTCTTTCCTTTTATAAGGAAGAAGGATTCTGATACTCTATTAGCAAGTCACTACGGGTCTGTAGGTGAAATCTAATGAGAAGGGCAGTGCTATAGGCAATCAATGATGTAGAAGACAAAGCCGGTTTAATTTACTTATACTCCTAGCTAAAGGAACCTGAACCTTCAACAAAACCTACCAGAATTACAGAAGAGCGCCGCTGCACCGACACACCAAGCCCATTACTTTCGGAGCCACTGACGCAGAGGGAATCTGAGGTCTCTGAGCTTGGATCTTGTCCCAGTCAATATTTTCACCAGCGGCTTAGATCTTTCGAGTAAGGACTCACATAGGTTTGCGAGCAATGCTAATACAAATGTCAGGTGACAGCTGCTGAGCTCCCCGCCCTTGAACATTACGCTTAGCGCTGGGGGCACCACTGACTGTTCTACCTCATTACTTTTAACATGCAGATATCACATAAGGGGATCAAGCTGAGAAGAAATATTCCAGCTTCCAGATTTGTAAGTAAAATTCTCATGAACAGCTAATGCCAACGGAAAGATGGTCTGAGACAGTAGTTTTCCGGGCTGGGAGAGTTTTAGTAATAATTATAATTGGTTACTGGTGTTGGGGGTGGTGGTGAAGAATGGCAGATATCTTGCAATGCATTGGACAGTTCTAGCAAGGGGGGAGTCTTCCTAAATGGTCAACATGACTGAGGCTGAGAAAGAAAGCTGCAACAAATGAAATACATACACAATTCTGCATTGCTGCTTATGCAGTCAGTTTCATGAGAAGGAGACAGGAGATAAGTCACCTAAATGTAGTTCATAGTATAGACCTACATATTCCAGGCGACCATGATACGACATGACTCAAGGGCTAAGGCTACCCTAACTACGTGATGTATCTAGATCACAATGATAACTCCACTGACTCTGTTCAGGTTACAGGGGGGGCAGCAAGGTTTTATTGAGGGCTAGTGAACTGAAGCTATCAAGATATAGGACAGCCATCAGGGCAAAGGGTGTAGAAATCCTGACATAAGAGACACTGGAGAATTCTGGGCGGCTGTTGAAGGAAGACGAGCTGCAGCTTCTATTTCAGTGACTCAGATTCTGAGTGGCAGAGGAGGAGGGTTCCGAGTCGTGGAAGGGGAAAAGACAACAGCCCTTTGCAATGTCGTAACCATCACGTGTCAGGTGGGGACTGAGTGACCTGGCAGGGATGCTAGAGAGCAAGTCAGGTGGAACCACATCACCCCAAAAGGCTCTTCCTAAACCATCTTTTAGCCTGCAGTTCTACAGGACTTAATGCTGAGGGGAATCATTCATTTCACTCATTAGATAAATGGGTACCTTTGTGACCTGCCTAGCTGAGCACCCCAATTTAACCAATGATTTTCTTTACTCCTATAATTCAATGGTGCTGGTGATCTCAATACATAATTATATATAATGCAACTTGAGGTAGGAAAGAATGGGAGGGGAGGTTTCCAGAGTAAGAATGACTTGAATTAGAACTCGACTCACTCACAGACAGACCACATTTCATGGTTACTAGCCATCTACAATATCAGATTGGCATCAAGCTCTGATGCCAATATTTAATTAGTAGAAGCAGCAACTTTTATCATGTAAGATTTTGTTTAAGCAAATACAGTGATGTGGAAACATGGTGAACCTCTCCGGAGGACTGTTCGGACACTGACGGACTCAGGCTCCATGAACGACTCTTCAAGCAAACCTGAAGCTAGTCTACAGTAAAAGAAACTGTGATCTAATCTGTGCTGGGCTTAAACAGTTATCTCAGATCAAGACAGATGGTCAATAGAAAACTGAGTTTTTTTTAAAATCAATCCCAGCAGGGCTTGAGATTTTTTTTATGATATCTTCAGTCTCAATATTTAGGGAATATGAGTACATATTAGTTCCTAGCTATTTATTATCATTTTATAAAAATGAAATCATAGGTACGAGCCCAAAGTGCCAACCTATTAAAGACAAACCCCAAGTAGGCACAAATCTTAATAATCTTTCTTGTCTAGTTTAACTGTTGAGCTATTTCTAGAAAAGACACAGAACTTAAAAATGTCATTTATCTGAAATAGATGTTTCGTCCTTCACTGTAGGTCAGAGATACATACTGGGTCACCTGGACAAATCTACTTTGAAATCTAATATAGAAAGACTGGCCAAGCAGTGCCCATGTGGATTAAGCCCTGAAATGTACATTGGGTCCATGTAACACACAAAAGAAGCCAAAACCATAGCTGGGAATTGAATTACAGTGTTGATAAAGAAAGTATTGAAGTAAACACCTAAATTCTTAATTTAGCTGGCTTTTGCAGATCAAACAGCATATGCGAGTTTCAAAAATATTTAGCAGTTCATTAGTTGAGTTTATGTTAAGTTGGATTTAATTCTGGGTATGAAACTTGCAAAAAGAGTAATGGGCTATTTGGAAGAGAGCTTTCTGTTCCTTTAGATTTTGCTTAGCTTTCTGTCATCGAGGTAGAAATCAGTTCCTCAAATGCAAATTCCACTTTTTGCCCTGCTACTTAACATTCTCCCATTGGCTTTATTTCAGTGTGTTTCTAGATGCTTGTGGAACATGGCAGAAGAGTGTATGTCTATCATTTTTTGACATTCTGGTCAATAGGCAATCCATTCTGCATACTCTTTAAGACTATGGCTATTACTCCTGAGTAGGGAACCAAGCTTTGACCAACTAAAACAAGGCCTATTACTATAGGAGCTGAAAAATAATATTGGAAAGGTGCCATAAAACCACAGTATTTTTCCTTTATATACTGCTTCAGATTGAACTTAGGGCCATGTGTTCTACTGTGTTGCTTTGCAACGTAGCCCTTTCTTCTTATTTGTTAGTTTGTTTGTTTTTGGTTCACTCAGTAGCAAAGCATGATATGGGGTGGTGGTCACCCCAATGTTTATATATCACCAGTAATAAAGATAGCTTTCCAATGGCTCACAGATATATGCACCTTAAAGCTAAATGTTCTAAGTCATTTTGTCTTGTCAGGGAGTTACTACCATATTCTTAAACTCTGGTGAGTACATTGCAGAACCCAGCTATAAGTACCATCATCTAGAAACTGCTAATTATTTTTGCCTTTAGAACAAAATGGAATCCAAATGTGACCAAGAATACAGGCAGACACAAAGGCAACCAAGCTTTTGTGCACAGAGTGCGTACAGCATGAGTATATGAGACGCGAGGAAGAGAGTTAATAGATTCATCCTGATCCCTGCTGTTTCTGGGAGACACTTTTCTGGGTGCGTCTGAGCTGATGACAGCATCATCTGATGCCCCAGAATCTTGTTTGTCCTGAGTCCTCACAATTCCATAAGCCTAGATCAGAAATTCACTGTTGCCTCCTCCCCAACACGTCTAACTTGATCATGCCCACTGCCAACATGCCCCTGGTGATCTAGACAGGGAACTGTGCCCATCCCACTGTGAGAGGATGCTGAGTAGACCACATCCAGGCAGGCTGGGGGAGGGAGGTTGCAGGATGTATTGTGGCTACGGATGACCACATCTCATCTTGCCACATGCCAAAGAGAACTGGGCCTGGGGTAGACTTGAGGTGCTTCAAGTCTGTGTTCCACAGCCCTGAAACTCTTGGGTGACATTGTACCTTTTCTTCACTGCTGATGTTTCGGGTGGAAGTTCTCCAGGTGATGGAGGGGATGGGGTCTCCTGAGGCTTCGCAGGTAAGAGTGACTTGCTCCTCCAGTTCCATGGCGGTCTGATTCTCTACATAGGTGATTTTGGGCTTTGCTGAAAAGAAAAAAAATCATATCCATGAGTTTATCTGGTTATTTTGCTCTTTGGGGTTTAAGTGATAACGTGTACCCATTTAAAAAGGTTTCTTATTTACTAAATATAAGGCTCAATTCTGGGTATAGTAGGGACATGTAATGAGCCCCTAAAGGTGCTGGTAACATTGAAACAGTCAGATAAACATCTTCTGGAATATATAGCCAATAAGGTGCTTGAAGCCTGCTGCAGCAGAGTGCTGTGCTGGCTCAAACCTTCACAGGGAGATGGCTTTGGGGCCAGGAGGTTTTCAGCAGGTGTAAATTTGGGTGGAATGGAATCATTCTAAGCTCAGAAAAATTCTTGAAAGAAAGGAAAGGTACAAAAGGGAAGGGAGGGGAGGAGAGGTTGGGCAAAGAGGAAGGGAAGGGAGGAGAGGGGGCACAGGGGAAAGGAGTGGAGGATAGGTGGGGGAAAGGAGAAGGGAGGGGAGGAGAGGCGGGGGAGGGAGGGGAGAAGAGATTCAGCAACTGCAGTTTTACCAATAAACCAGAGATGCTCATGGGTGGAATCTTGTTGGAGCCATGGAGTGGTCAATGAACCCCCAAAAAGAATAATCTCGGGAGAATTCCAGAATGGAGAAAACCTTGAGGTGGAAATTTTGGTTATGTGCTTCAGGGTAGGCTGAAGACAGGAAGGAGAGAAGCTGAACTGATTTCATTATCATTTTCCAAATGTTTAAAGTAATGCAAAGAACACACACCTTCCAAAGCTGCATTTAATGTGAAAACATTAGAGAAAATTGAATTTTCCTAATTTAAGACAATTATACTCAGAAATTGCTAAACCTTCCATAGAAGAGAAAAGATAAGGCTGCGCAAATAACTTACTTCACTACTGGAGAAAAAGGTGAGGTAAAAAAGACACAAAGGCAGAATGACAGGTAGCTTGTGAAATCACTGTCTTCCCTTTCTATTCAAATTCAAAGTAATGGCAAGTCAACTAAGAAAATATGGCCTGAGAAAATCTATACTGAAGTCTTCCATGATGCTTCAATAAACTGGAATCAGTGACAAATGGCTTGCTTCCAGACCCAATTTTAAAAAAAAAAAATCACCAGAATAGTTCACATGGTTTCTTAACATTAGTAACAGGACACTTAGCAAATTATTGTCTCATGTCTGGCACATGGACAAATGTTAATCCAGTATGGCCAAATGCCGTTGAGATGATGGAGTCCAGGAGCTCCAGCTGAACCTTTCTATGGGAAGACTTTATGTCTTACCTTCATAAATATGCCTTGCAGGAGGTCTGAACTTACATCACATGGAAGGAGGGTTCACTAGTGATGTGGGAGTGTCATATATCAATCTGTTGATTTCATTGGTTAAGCAATAAAGGAACTCCTTGGCCCTGATAGGTTAAAAGATAGATGGGAGGAGGAAACAGAATAGAATTCTGGGTGGAAGAGGAAGTGAGGTCAGACTCTGCTCTGCTTCCAGAGGGACCGGACAGCCGCCATGCTCTGCTCTCCCAGGCAGCTGCAACCCACGATGGACTTAGGCTAGAATCTTCCCGGTAAGCGCACCTTGGGGTGCTTACACACATCATTAGAAATGGGCTAGTCCAGGTGCGAGAATTGGCCTGTAAGGGCTAGAGTTCATGGGCCAAGCAGTTCTTTAAATGAATACAGTTTGTGTGTTGTTATTTCGGGCATAAGCTAGCCAAGCGGCCGGGGTGTTGGGGACGCAGCCCCGCCGCTCCTTATTTCAACACACTAGTATCAAACACTAACTTTTAGAGGGTAAAATAAAGCAAAGCAAAATCAAGGTGAAATAGAAGTTGAATCTCTATGTTACCAAAGTGACGAAAGGAAAAGGACAAGAGACATAGAAAAGAACAGGTAATTCCAGCACTGGGAAGGCAGAGGTAGTGGATCTCGTGATTTCGAGGCCAGTCCGGTCTTACAGAAAGAAACTCTGTCTTGAAAAACAAAACAAACAAAAGAAAAAACCCCGACACAGATTCTCTAAATGATGATTTTGGGGGCTGGAACCAGCTGGCTACCATGGCCTAATTTCTGGAAACTGAATGTAAAGAGTCTGAGACTTAGACAGAGCTTTTGACCTTCTCCTGGCCCTCAGCACTTTGTCTTGTCAGAGAGAGAGAGAAAGTAACAGAAGGGTCAGGTAACATCTATTAACATTTGGTTTGTGTGTCACCATCTCCTAGATGGCTACAAAGATTATATTATACAAGTGTTTAGCGAAAGGGAAACCACATTTTTCTACAAGGTTTTTTTTGCTGTTGTCGTTGTTATTTTGTTTTTACAGGGACTTACTATATAGTTTTGGATAGCCTATAATTTGCTTTGAGACCAGTGTGGCCTCAAACTCACAGAGATCCTCTTGCCTTCCAAAGTGCTAGAAATAAAAACAAGTGCCAGCAACATATTATTAACAAAGACTAACTTTGTATAGGCAACAGAGTTTTGGAAGGAATGATTCCATTCTCTGCCTCTGGAAGCAGCGTTGTTGTCAGTGCTAGAGGAAGGCAGAGCCATCACAGGTGATGAGGTTTAGAAATGCCCCAGGAGGCTCATAACTTTGAACACTTAGCCCCTGCTGGTGATGCTGTTTGTGAAGGTTATGGCAGTTTTAGGAGGTAGAGCTTTGCTGAAGGAAGTACATCACTGGGGGTGGAGATTTTATAGCTCATCCCCACTTCCTATTCCTTGTCTGCTTCCTGTATGTAGACGACATGTTATCTGTTTCCTGATTGCCAGGCTAGTCTCATGTTCCTGATATCACACATTCCCAACCATGATGGACCGTATCCACTATAAACCCAAATAATCCCCCTTCTTCTCTATTTTTTTTGTTTGTTTTTGGTCTTAGGATTCTATCTAAGCAGCAGAAAAGAAATACAACAAGTATGCTGTAAATAATTACGTGAAGACAGAAAGCACTGCTAGGCAAATAGGGACTTATGAAGAGTGTCTGTTGCTTGTAAAAGATTCCCTCCCTCTGCGGCTAGCCCAAGAGGGATCTCTCCGAATTTCATCTTCCCATTTTCCTTGCTCCAGCTTAAGTTCTGCAAGTGCTCCTGGGTTTTACAGCATTCTTCTCTGGTTTCCCTGCCTTGCCGAGACTTAGCGCCTCCATTGGTTGCATCTCTCCTTGCATGAGCTAGTTTCTGTGGCTGTAATAAATCGCCATGACCAAGACAATTTATAGAAGAAAGATTTGTTCTGGCTTATGGTTCCAGAGGAATAGAGTCCCTCCTGGTGGACTCTTTGCAGCAAGCATTAGGCAGAGCAGCAGGAGCAAGAAGCTGGGCCAGCACATCTTTTAAACCAAGCAGAGAGTCAACTGAAAGCAAGGTAAGGCTATACATGCTCAAATCCTACCTCCAGTGACTGTAGAGCTATGCTTTCTAAACTTCTCCAAACAGTACCAACAACTGGGGCCAAGGGTCCAAATGCCTGAGTCCATGGGGAGCATTCCTCACGTAAACCACCACCTTCCTCACGATCCTGTGAGGACTAGTCAGTCCACTGTCCTGCGGTTTGCCACTCAGCAACAGCCATGTCCACTCCTGGTTCAACAGTGTCTGGGAGCCTCTCTCTCAAGGAGAGCCCTGAGACTTTCTCCTTCAGCCCCCAGGGGTCTCTTGCTATTACCCACAAGTTCTGCCTTAGTTACAAGAGTCAGATAACCAAGGCTTCTGCCTCCACTGAATTTGCCTCAGCTCATGGCACCAGGAGACATCAAGATCATTAGCACAGGCATAATTATCTGCACAGGCAAAACATACTTTTTCAGAAGGACCCACAGAGAAGAGAGATGGAGCTTCACAGCCAATGCAGAATAATAGTGCACCTACTTAAGGAAAGGAGCCCTTAGCTGGTAACTACGGCAACACATGCCAGAGCAAGTCTCTATCATTGGGAGTCATTCTACAATAGCAATAGCTTCTGCTTTAGTCATCTTCTTTACATACTGACTGCTACCCACTCTGAAGGCATCAGAGGTTTGATCTCTTCTTTGCTACCCAAGGTGCAGTTCTCTTTCCCCTTTAACACCATTAAGTCTCCCTGCTGCAGAGAAAACCTACTGAGGGGATTCACCCACGACAGCAATCTAGAAGGGAAAGGATAAAAAGGGAAGAAAGATGCCCTAGTCAGCTGCCCCCTTTTCACCACGCTCTTTGATCTTATAGTTGCTGCAACCAAGAGAGGAGGCCAAGAGAAGGGAGGAGGGAAAGAGGGATTAGAAAGCAGAAAGGAGAGAAATAGGTGTTCAAGACAGATGAATGGGCTCTCCTTGCAGCACTGAAGAGAATTCTGATTCTGGATTTGACACAATTGTTACAGGTCCATGTTTTCCTTGCTGACCTCTTTAAGAGCCCAGCCACCTCTCTTCTGTTTGCCCCACTGTGCTATCTAGAGAATACTCTAACACTCTTGGGAAAGAAATTGTGGTGTGTGTACAGATGCAGATGCACAGGGATGAAGGGATGACTGTGTCCATTCAGGATAAAGATTGGGAAACAAATCCTCTCTTGCCTGTTTCTCCATCCTCATTTCTCTTCCTTACTACTTTGTCTGGGCTTATCCATCCTGTTCATTCTCCCATGGCCCCGTAAGACTCCTCATTTGCTACCTGTCCTTCCTGCCTGAGTCACTCATTGCCACTGAAAGGGCCTGGAAGAGGAACAAGCGCTATTCTTATCTATCCATGATAAAGCTGAGTATGTTTCACAGGGCAGCTTCTTAGATGCTGGGTTATGACCCTGTGAAGTTATCCAATTGCAAAGCTGAAGTCATGAAAAAGTTTGGCCATAGGAAAATGTTTCTGGACTTGAAAAGACCAGAAATTAATTCAAAATCAAATGCACAGTGGATCTAAGTTGCTTCTGGCAGTGCTTGCCCACATTGCATTGTGTGACTTTACTGCAGCCTTGGTTCTGAACACTCAGCGTGTATATGCCATCCCACCACACAATGCCAACAAACACTGGCTGCAAAGCCTTGGGCTCAGATTCAAGACTATTGTATGCTATGAATTGTAGTGTTTTTACTACACATGCAAAGTTTTCTGCTCTTACAGAGACATAATGGCTTAATTATGGAAAACAATGACTTCAAATATTTTCCTAACACCCTTCCTCAGCATGTAAGTATCAAATTAGTGTATCTTTGGGTAGTATTGTGTTCGAATGCTTGATTTTAAAAATTACTGTTTGAATTGCTGACTTGAGTTGCGCACAAAAAAAAAAATTATTCAATGAGTTTTGGCTTGGGACTGGAGACAGAATTTCCAACAATTTTTGAAATGGTCCGAAACAAATTTCTGCCATTTTGTACTGTGTCTTTATGCAAAGTGGTGTTCTCAACCTCGATGACTATAAACAAAAACACCAATCAACACTGAAGAACACTGAAGACATTCTGTGTTCTGCAATATCAAATATTTGGCCAAGGTTTAATTCCTTATTAAATAAACAAGCATACCCATCTCATTGGTATGCAAATATGCTTTTGGTTTTTAATAAGTGGAAAAGTATATGCATACCATAATCATAGTTGCAAACTAAGGCTGTTTAAAAAATTCTCAGGTTAAGAAGGACTTTCAAGTAGGAAGCATCTCGAGAACCTATGCGCAGTATCATGGTCGAGGGACAGCATGCTGCTTCTCCCATTTCTATTCATTTCCTACACAGGCAGATTTAGCACAGTACTGATGGACTGCATGGATGTAGCCATCACTGCTTTCCCAGGGTGCAAACCAAGAAGCCATGGTTTTGCTTTGAATCACGGTTCCTTATGAGGGGCACCTGAGCTCTCTGTCCTCATTTGTAAAACAGGAGCAATAATCGAGTCTGCCTCAGGGCACTGTGATGAGGACTGCAGAAGCTAATTTGTGGTTATGTGGCAAGGTATGGAATAAACACTCCTTCTGGGCTGGGCATTGTTATTGTTACTTTATGGGAACAATGCTTTAAAAGTTCCCCAGAGACAAGAGAGGAAACTTTGTTTTGGGATCATCTCCCTCTTACATGGGTCATGCATCAGTCACATGAACTAATGGCCATTCCTTCCAATATTCAACTGCTCCTGCCAACTCTCCGAGGTGCTGAAGGCATATGTGTAAGCCAGCCCAGCAGAGCCTGTCCGCGGCAGCTCCCAGGCAGCATAGCATGTGTCTTCCAAGCAATGCCTGAAGCATTTGTCCCACCATTCAAAATGAAGTGGTGCATCATTTTGATGACTAACTGTTGACACACAGGGTAGGAAATCTTTCCTATAAAACGACACTGTGCTGTTGCTATGGAGTCACTATAGGGGGCTGTCACTTAAAATGTCAGTGTTGGACAACTACACATGCTTGTGAATCTACTGATGGGAACAGACTCCATGATATTTTATTTTAAACTTGGCAGTGGCTGGGTTCACAGTGGATGGTGCTGATTGACACTATCTATTCTCTTCTGTATGTTTATATGTTTATCTCTATCTTTGTGCTTCTCAGAGTCCAATTCTACTTATCGCGCTAGCCACTCTAGCTAGCTGCAAAGGCACTCAATATTTCTTAAATGAAGGGATAAATTAACAAATGCACCTAACCTTCTGTACAATCTCAAAAACAGAATAGGGGGATTGATTAATTTGAAGTAGAGAGAAAACACCATTGAGAATGGTGTTTTTTTTTTTTTTTAATGGACTGGGAAGAAAACTCAATCAGTAAAGTGTTTACTTTGCAAACGTTAGGATCTTACTCTGATCCTCAGACCCATATAAAAAAAAAAAGCAACCCTGAGTACAGTTGGCCATATTTATAATCCCAGCACTTAGGGAGGTGAAGACAGACTGCTCCCCAGCAGCTTAACGACAACCCTGTCTTCCCAACAAGGTGGACAGCACCTGAGGAATGACACCAAGGTTGACCTTTGGTTTCTATCCTCATGGACATATACATGTGGTGTGAGAGATGATGTATGCTCTGACTATGCTTTATTGCCGTTGGTTAATAAAGAAGTTGCTTTGGCCTGTGATAGGGCAGAATAGAGCTAGGCAGGGGAAACTAAATTGAAAGAAAACAGAGTCAGGGAGAAGCCATGTAGCTGCTGCCAGAGACAGATGTGCCAGAACCTTGCAGGTAAGCCACAGCCATGTGGTGATACACAGATTAACAGAAATGGGTTAACCAAAGATATAAGAGCTAGCTAGCAATATGCTTAAGTCATTAGCCAAGCAGTGTTGTAATGAATACAGTTTCTGTGTGAATATTTGGGTCAAGGCAACTAGAATGAATGAGCAGTCTCCACCAACATACATGCAGCTGTACACACACATATATATGCAAACACATGCAGACACACATAAGCAGGCTTTTCATGAAGTTTTTGTGTTCCTTCCCATGACCTATTTGTAACTGTCATCAATGAATAGAGAAGGCTCGACTGTAATTACCAGGACCATTGGCATAAAAGCACCTGATTTTCAACAGCGTGTTTACAGACAGTTCTCTCCATCAGGCTAACCATGCAGTCCTAACACTGGCTCCTATGTGTGCACTTAGCTACCTGGGAGGGGCAGGCACCAGAGAAGCCTCTCCAGCCTTGTGCTCACCAGCAGGGTCTACAGTGCAGAAGTTTATCTGTGCTTTTTAGACAGATAAGCAGAGAACTTTGAAAGCCAGTAGGGTACACCTTTCTTTTTGCAACAAATCCCCTTTTTGCACCAAGAGACCAAAAACACGTTTCAATTCTGAAATGCCTGGAAGTTTGTCCTATAGGGACAAAGCAGATGGAGACATGATAGTCTTTTCTATGACTTTCTATGATGCACAGTGGCACACATGCCAATAAAAAAGGTAAAAAAAAAAGTGATAAGGCAACCCATCAGGCAAGGTATCCTGAGATCTAGAGCTGTTTTGAGAACCAGGGATAAAGCAAAGTGTAAGACAGCCAGCATGCTCTCAATACACTTGGAATGCAATGGAGACTGGAGATAAGCCATTGCCCCAAACCAAACACGTCAAGAGGATTAGTACAGGAATTGTTAGGTGCCTAGAGAAGAAACAGTGAGTCCTGAGGATAGTCGGTAAAGTGGCAGCTTGGATGCGGAGAGGCAGTAGAAGAGGCCAGGTGAGGAGGACTAATGGAAATGTGCTTGAGCTGACGGTAACAAGAAGGCCACTCTTGGCAGGTCTGTCTTGGGCAATGGTACTGCAAGCAGGATAGTCTCCAAAGCAATGTCCCTGAGATAGGGGACACTGAGACAGGGAATTAGCTTGGTGTGAGGAAGAGACAGAAAGGAGGCTGGTGTGAATGGAGAGCTTTCTCCACGGAGCAGAGGGAAGCAAAACTAGAACAAGAGTACAAGCAGGGGTTAGGGTACACTGGACCATGGGACTAGTCTGGCCTTTACTTCAGTTGCAACAGGGATCTTGGAAAGAGAATTGGCATGGAGACCATTCTGACTACCACGAGTAGAAAAGACTGCGGGGAGCCCAGATGGGGAGCAGGAAGACCAGCTAGAAGACTGTGTTATTGAATGATTTTCTGGACTAGGGCTGAGGTGTCAGTACCGGAAGCAAACGGTTGCCTTTGGGATGTATGCCATGGTAGTCTGGGCATGCCTTACAGATGGGCAGAGTGTGAAGAGAGGAGGAATTGAGCCTGAACTGTGACCTTGACCCACACCGCACTGTACCTACCGAAGACCTTGAGGTGGATGGATGCATCCTGCTCGCCAGCCTTGTTCTCAGCAATGCAGACGTACTCAGCCTCGTCATTTTTGTCCACGTTCCTGATCGTCAGCTCAGAACTGTCATCGCTGAAGATATGCTTGTCATCATCCTCTTCCTCGTTTTCTATGGGTTCTCCATCCCTACATAGTTCAGAAATGCAAAGGGTGAAGATTCTGAGCATGGGGTTAAGAGGTTCATGTCCAATCAGTTTCCACAGAATGCAGACTGTGCTGATGGGACAGGCTCAGTCTACATAAAAGGGGAAGACCACTAAGTAGCATTCACCATTTTAAGCTTTTTATGCTTCTCCCCAATCTTTGGAGCCTGTGCAAAGGCTGTCAATATCTTTCACAAAGATTTCAAAGAATCAGCTTCACAAGTCACACCCTCTGGACCTGCCCCCACAAGACTGAAAATGAAACAGTAACCAAAGACACAGAACAAGAGAACTTCCCAGAGAACCCTGCACCCTGATATGTTAGGAAGCCCATACTCATGCCAATGGAAACCCTACAGACAATGGGTTCTATGGATTCCCATCTCTTCTCACCCATGACACAAGGACACAAACCAGTTTCTTACTTTGTCCAGCTCATGGTAGGTTCCGGGAAGCCATCAGCATCACACACCAGGGTGACAGACTGGCCCAGGTTGGCAGTGGCATTCACGATGCTTTGTCTGGCCTGGACAGTGGGCGGTACTGAAGGGAAGAAGAACGTCAGAAGCAGTTGTACACAACTTAAAAGTACCCAATGGCCCTGAGAAGAGGCATTTGGGGGCCAGTGGGCCACAGAGTCACCACCTGGGGGGTTAAGAGACCCGGACAGCTACAGAGTCAGTGTAAGTGATCTAAACTCGCATGGCATTCTAAATAATTAATGGCAACCTACCAAAACTTTGCCCACAAATGTGCATTATTGTTTTTTTAAGACTCTAGCCATTATATTACCTCTTAACTCATGTTCATGTGGTATTTGATTTAGTGTGGCTATTTGTTATGGTGTTTTTTTAATCAATATATGCTATATAACTATGAAGGCAGGGGGGACTCAATGTTAAAAGGAGGCTCTCCGTGCCGGCAAAAGTTAGAAAACGCAGTTCCTGGTGGTTTTCAGGTTGGTATGCGTCTGAAAGACAGAGCTCGGCAGAGTGACATTTCTCTGCATCTGTCATAAACAACCTCATGTACAAAGTGTTTCCACTGAAGGGACGAGAGGGGGAGAGCTTGGCAAGAAAGCACATATCGATAACCAAAACAATTCAAATGTGATTTACTTATTTTCTTAGTACTGATATTATAATTTCCTGTAAACATCTTGCAAGTGGCAGATCGATGCTATGGGTGTGTTTATTTGACATTGCAAATTAAGATTAATAAGCCCACAGACCATGATGTTCACTATTCTGAGATCTGAATTGATTGCAATATTTTCTCTGCCCATCAAACCAAGGAGACTAACTTCCTAATGATGATAACACCAAGGACACTAGGGATGAAGAGGCATTTATTAGTACAAAGGGAAAGGTTTTAGTCCTGCAATGAAGGGCATTTAATATCTACAATTGAGGGAAGACACCAAAAACTAGTGTGTTAATGTGAAAATTAACACATTAATCTCCCCCCCCCTAAGAGGTTATGATAGTGGAAAGAAATTCTGTTGAGATGTAGAAATGAGTCAGAACAGGTCTATACCCAAGAGGAACAGGAAGAGAGGTCTCGGGAAACCCTGGTTGTAGCAATGGAGAGAACAGGAAGGACAGATCTCCTCACCATTTACAATGACCTGAATGTCCTTGAAGTTGATTTCTCCCCTGGCCAGGATTCTGCCCTCACAGCGGTAAGTTCCCTCATCTGTCTTCTTGATGCCCCGGATCTGCAGGTAGTTGTTGGACAGGACTATGAATCGGACTGGAAGAGACAAGAGGCAGGTTCATCCAAGGTCAGTCAGTAAACTCCACAATCAGGGAAGCAAGCAGTTGGACCTCCTGCTCTAGCCTTTTATTGGTCTTGTGTTTTGTTATTTATGAGACAGAGTTTCACCGTGTAGTTGATTCTGGTCTGGAACTCACTATGTAGGCCAGGTTAGCCTCAGACATATAGCCATTCCTCCTATCAGTTTCTGCATGCTGGGATTACAGACACGTGACACAACCTGGCTATCTTGTCCTTTTTCTTATCTCCAGGGTTGCGTTTTAGACTGAAATGAGAAAAGTAACCACTGGACCATAAATACAGATGAGATAAGTCTACAAGGGATATGTCTTCTGCTCTGGAGAGACAACCAGATGCCCGACCATACCAGTTACAGATATATATCTCTTTGGGTCCAATAATTTGCATGTGGGTTCCAGGCTCCTCAATTTGTGTTTAGATGGAATATCTCTCCCAGGGGTGGAAATCTAGGGGACCAGAGAGCTCATGAGAACTTAGGTCTTACCATCTTTCTTCAGGATAACGTCACGGCCTTTGTGTTTCCAGATGATGGTTGGGGGCAGAGAGCTGACCACATCACACACAATTACCGCATCTTCCCCTTCCTTGAACTCCTGTGGGGTTGGTGCATTCTTGAACATGAGCTTCTCTGAAAGGCAGCATGAGGAGCAGAGTGAGGAAACCATACCATCTTGTAGAACTGTGCTGCCTGATTTCAATCCCAGGCCAGTTTCCACCCACAATATAGTGGCAGAGGAGGGGCTCCTGCTCAGCTCAGTACTGGGTCTTGGATGAAGGCAGAGCAGCTAGCATTAAGGGGTCTCTAGAGGGGAATGGACTCCCTGCTGTAGTGATGATACACTGTAGTGATGTGGTGAGTGTTACATCTATCCTACAGTGACAGTGAGGGTCACTGGTTATTTTTTGGTCTTTCACTCCGACCTCACCCTAACTTCTTTACAGCAGAGAGAATTCCGAAGAATGAGAGCATACTGAATGGCAATAAATGCTATGCTGCTCAACACCTACCTGCTAGCTGTCACCTATCGTGACTTGAGCCAGCACTATGTGTAGTAAGAAGGCAATGAGATGTCACTGCCAGGCTAGCTTCCAGTGACAATGGAAACTACCTTTTATGAGCAGTATCAAGTATTTGCATATAATACCCCATCTCACTAGGTCTTCGGTCTGCATCACCAGCAAAGGAAATGGGATTAAAAAGGGAAAACCTAAACTGTATGTCTATCATTATCACTTAGAAGTCATGGAGGAACCCATGGTAGCCCTTTAGGAACTGTGTAGTTTCTGGCATGGAGGACAGTGGGAATGTAGACTCATAAGACCAGTGAAAACCAGCCTTATGCATTCTAGGCCAACGATGAACCATTTGAGAATATACCAGAACTCTTAGCATCTTGGGATAGACCCTTATTGGTCCGCCTGTTGTCATCTCTCTGCTTTTGCTACACACCCATGTTTCTTTCTAACAAGGGTGGGAGTGAAGAGTACACATGAGGGCTCTTACGGAAGATCTTCACGTTGACAGTGGCCTCAGACTGGGTGCCATCCTCGCCAGTGACCACACACTTGTAGATGCCGGCATCATCGATATTGGCGTTGTAGATGGTGAGCGTTGAGGAGTCGTCATCGTTCCACACCACTGAGATCCGCTGCTGGTTTGGGCTCAGCTTTTCTCCGTTGGGGGAAAACCAGGAGATGTCCTTATCTTTGGCTTCTCCTGCCACTAAGGAGGAAGAGATTACTTTCAGAACACAGAATGTAAGAAGATTAATCCCTTTCGGAGTATCAGTGGCTACCTAGTAAGAGCTCCTCATGGCAAAGACTGGAAGACTGGAAAGGGATCTCTATCATCAAACCTTTTGCAGCTCTGTTCTGTGTCTGTTTAATTATGTCATAACATCTCCTAGAGTTGAAAGAACTCATCAGCTACATGTGCCTGTCATGGTTTTTAGTGGTCCTGTCCTTCAGGAAGGACACTATTTGCTGTGAACCTACTATGCCCCATGCACTAAGCTAGAGACAAATGTATATTATGGAATGGGAAATAAAGAGGGGTTATTTTATACGAGACCTGGGTTCCAGGACCTAGTTGACCTGAACCAATTGATCAGGATGTAGAGGGTGGATACTGGTCATCTGAGTTGAATATAAGAGAAACTGGATAATCCAAGAGGTAATATTCCAGCCATTTTGACTTCAGCAACTGTATGAGTGACATTCTGATGCCTATTGCCCAGGCAATCCCTTATATGCTCTGAGGAGACAGAATATCAGCAACGCCTCTCTTTCTGGACACCTGTGAGGGGCACTACGATTACTCAGCTGCCTAAAAGCAAGGTTGAGTCAGGGTGAAAGTCTCTCCAAGCCAATGTTCCTTCTTTGTCCTACTACCTATGTGTGGGTACCAGCCTGCATTGCCTAGCCCTGTGGAGATGTTTGGTATAGACATGCGATCTTCCTTTTGGGGTCCATCCCGTTTTCAATAAATATCACAATTTGCAAGATGTGCTGTGGGCACTAAGGCGCTATCTTCAGATCACTGAAACTGCAGTAATGATGGCAGAGCTGGAGAAAATGTTTCCATCGGCCACAGCCCTCTGATCAGATGCAAATCATGGTGGCAATTAAAGCTTTTTTCCACCCAAAGCTGCTTGTTAAATGACGCGGCTCACACCTAGTTCGGTTCATTCCTGTTTCTGTTACATTCCAAATCCCAGGCATGTCATCTGCAAATGCCTCGAAGCCTAATTCCACGTACTCTCTTCCCCTGGATGTTTCCCACTTATGATCAGGGTATATTTCCTAAGGAAGCAATAAGAATGCCAGCTCTGATATATCCCAGCATTGTGCACGTTTGTGATGGTGATGGACAGACAGAACAAATCGGTTGTAGAGAACCAAGATATGTGTCTTCCCAACCAGTGGCACACATCCTCAATGCACTTTCAACACCTTGACTTTTCAAGGTCTGAGTTATTCTAAGAAATGAACCTTAATCTGATCTATAGAGGCATTTTTTTTCTAAATTTATTCTGTATTCCAGAACTGGCTACAGACAAGAAACAAGATACAAGACCTGAGATGATTCACTCTGTGGGGTATATGCTGGTTTTCCTACAAACCCCTTTGATATGCCCTAGTGTCAAGCAGAAATATAGACAGTGTTTCTCTTCACTATTTAAGAGAAAATCTCTGAGCATGGTTTGGAATGGTTACACTGCTGACCTAGAGGAGAACAGTGGCCAGAATTCTAGGTCTGGCACCCCCAGCTTCATCTCTGAGGATTTTGGAGGCAAGCTTTGGAACGTGATGGGACCCAAGACACTTGCCTTGGCACAGGAAGAATTTGGACTCTCCAACGCTGATTTCTCCCTGGCTGGGAACAATATCCACTTGCAGGGAAACTGAAAAAAAAAAAGAAGAAAAGAAAGAAAAGGAAAAAGTTGAGTTCAAACATACCTTTAAAAACTTGAGATCAAACCCCACAGCATTCATTCAAAAATGGGATTTTCAAACTCAGCTTTAAAAAAAAAAGACTATGAGGTTTATTTGGCTTCTGAGAACTTGCCGCTGTCAAAGTGACTTTACCCTGTAGCCAGAAGTAGATACAGCCCAGATCACTCCTACATGCTATCTACTGTCAAGAGCAGAAGGGTCCCCTGGGCCAGCTATGTTTTGTATTCACAGAAAGAGCCGGCCAGCCAGTTCCTTTTGGGTGTCAGTCTGAAGTGTCTCTAGGGCAGGCAGCTCGTCACCCCAGAACCATGCATAGGGTTAGCTTGTCCACTCCCTGTGCTGCCATGCGTGGTCACAGCGAATCAGCCCCATTCTAAAGCAGGGGTGCTGATGAGAGTCTGCAATCAGGGGTGCTGATGAGAGTCTGCATTGCCCTGCAACACAGAACCATCACACCTATCTCCGGAGATCAGAACGGTCAGCCAGTCTGCTGTGCTTCTGAAACCCCACAGCCTGCGCTTCGTGGGATTCTTTGCATTCCTGGGGCTACTTTTTCCTGCATTTTTATTTGAATATCCATACGCTCAGTCTCCCCATGGTACTGATAAGAAAAAAATACATAACACCAGATCTCACCAATGCCCGCTTCATTCTGCTTCTCGTTTATCTCCTTAGAGCAGATAACGACTGTTCATAAAAACACAGTTTTAGGATAGGGAAGCAGAATTCTTTATTCATTTGAAATCAGCTTCCTTCTGCCCCTGCTCTCTTTAAGTAAATCTAAAAGGCGAAGGCGAGTACACATCGGGTTCTACAGACAGAGCTCCTCAGAGCCATTACGAAGCAAGCACCAGCCCTGCCCTCCACCCTCCGATAAAAACCCAGGTTGGGTCATAGAGACACTGAGCTCTTCCTTCCAACAGCCATTTTCTGTGCACAGTATAATGGAGGGAAAGCTCGTTGCCATGGTGACCGGCTCTCAGGCAGGGCTGGTGCAGCAGCTCTGAGTATGGGCTCATGAGACAGGAGGCCACAGTTGTGCTCAGCAGAATACAGGGATCAAAAGGTCTGCCTGGGGCTGGAGAGGGAGTACATGGGGAGGGGGAAGGCAGAGTACTGGGGTACAGCTTTCCTAACCATCCTGACAAGGCAGATCCAGAGAAATTCAGCAGAGGCTATAGAGGGAAAGGGGTGAAGTGGAGCCAGCATGGAGGAAAAAAAAAATGGAAGGAAGAAAAGGGTAAGGAAAAGGGTTCAGGGTCAAGGAGAGGAGGGAGCTGAGCTCTCCTCTGCGGCTAAGAGGCCGAGCTTGGGCGCTTTCAAAAACATGGACTGCGGGGGATAGTAAAATATAGGGCGTGTTTTCACCTCCACTTTGCTGTTGCCAACCAGTCTGGGAATCAGGGCTTAATTCTTACCCAGGAATTCATCCTCCCCACCCTCAACCTTTCTGTGCCTAGCCCTTGGTACACACAGTTGTACTGGGACATGATGCTGGCAAGGACTGAGTCCATGGTCCAGATGCAACTAGCTGGGGTTGCTTTCCTCATCCTCTCTAGCTGGACTTAGGTGCTGCTCAGTTCCACACTGTGACACTGGGAAGGGGTCTCAGAGATCACCCTGACCTGCCTTTTCACTTTCCAGATGTGGGGAGCAATGAAACGATTTCTTTACAGTCATTTCTAGGTACAGGTCTGTGTTGTGGAGACCAGGCGTCCTGGCTCTCCCCAGTTCTAGCTCACTTTGCAGTGTGATCTTTGTGGAGGGAAGATATTCCCACTGAATGTAAGAAATCATCTGGATATACTGAATGACAGCCCTTAGCAAGGCCATTTTCTTAGGGAGTATAGAAAGCCCAGGTTTGAGCCCCTCTGCTATTCTGAGAGCTTGGGGCCAAGGAGAAGCTTTCCCATTGTTTTTGGTGCCTCACACTTCATGGAATGGATGGTACTTTGAAATCCTGAAGCTATGCCTCCAACATGACTTACCTGAGCAATATCCCTTTGTGGAGTTTCCAGGGCATTGCCTGAAAGCAGGGGCATACTTCTGCCTGCAAAGTTCGCCGGCCCATATGCTGAGCATTAGCTGGCGGCCTCAACATATGGATCCCGTTACTTCAGTACCCTCCCTGCTGGAGAATATTCCTATTCTGAGTGAAAAAACAGCTTTCACTTTAAAAAAAAAAAAAAAAAGCGCCTTTCAAAAAAGAACATGACTCTCAAGGGGGAGTCAGGCTGAAGAGCTTTCAGACCCAAATGTAGCCAGGATCTATCTATGGACAGCTGAGAGAAAGAGAAATGAGAATTTCAAAGGAATTCCCAGCTTAACGGGATCCCTCACGCACATTTATCATCAGTTCTAAAAACAGAAACCTTCCATGGAGACTGCTGGCCCTTTGCACACAAGGAAAAGAGACTGATTTCTCCCTCAAAACACCAGACAGGACTGGGACAGAGGCGCCTAGACACTCTGCAAACAACATTTGGATGCTTTAGACTATAGTCAGTGGCAGGTTATTCTCCTGCATACGCCAAACCTTGAAATATAAGGTCTAATAACGAGAAGTGGAAACCCCGTGGGAAACTGTAAACTCCTTGACGCCCCTGCTTGCTCCTTCCCTCCACACCTCCCATGCTACTTTTCATTGTTTGCAACAAAATCTCCAGAATTGTGTCCCACCTTCTTCTAGCTGTGTGTGCAAGGCGATGTCCTCAGTGGACACAATGCACACCTTTAAAGCCACGTGTGCAAGCATTCGCTCTCTAATCACGTGTCCCGTGCCCTGCTCTGCTTCAGCCGTCTCTGCATAAACACTGTCATCTAAGCTGCAGATGAAGATTAATGGTCCCGGCCTCAGGTGTCTGGACCTGGGTGGGCTTTGCCGGCCGGGATCACATTGTTCAGTAATTTCCATGTTAAGCCCACTTGCAGCTAGCCTGCACTATCATGTTTACAAAGGCATTTCGTTATACCAATCTACTAACTGTTGAGAGAGGAAAAAGACAGGCAGAGGGAGCTGCATCCATCATTGGCAGGAGAGGAAACTGAGGTGCAGGAAAGGAAATACTTCACTTAGGTGATGAATTCAACCAAGACTGATGAACTAATGAACAAACATCATTTAATTCTAATGCTCCAGCTCATGTGTTTCCATTTTATAACTACTTTGAGCCTCTCTCTCTCTCTCTGTCTCTATCTCTCTCTCTGTCTCTGTCTCTGTCTCTCTCTCTGTGTCTCTGTCTCTCTCTCTCTGTGTCTCTGTCTCTCTCTCTGTGTATGTGTGTTGGGGTAGGCCAGAAGTCACTCTCAGGTGTATTCAGGAACCCCCCTCTTTGCTTTTGGAGGATAGCATCTCCCATTGGCCTGGAGCTCATCTAATTAGGTTAGCCTGCCTGACCAGCAAGCCCCACGGTTCCACCTGCCTTCACCTCCCCAGCACTGGTATTATAAAGCACACACCACCACACCAGGCTTTCCCACATGAATCCTTGAAGATCAAGTACTGTCTCTCCAGGCTCCTAGGACAGTTTTTGAAGCATCCAAATGGGTTTATTATAACCTGTTAGCTCCCATTCATTGTTCTCTCTCTCCAAATCACGGGCTAGATATTTTTGTACACAAATATTTCAGTCACATTGCTGTCACCATTTCCCTGTGGTTAATGGTAACTGTCCTCTTTGCTCACAGATGATAATATCATGACTCCCATTTGACAGATGGGGGAGCAGAAGCTCAAGGCCTTGACTGATGGTCAAGATTCAAGCACACGGTGACAAAGTCCAATGTTCCAGCTGTTTCTCTCATACTACGCTAATCCCTGTGTGCGAATATTTTTAAAAGAAGATTCTGTCATTCAATGAACTGAATGGTCCACTTCTCCTCATCTCATGGAAATAAGTCTGGGGGAGAGTGCTTGGCTTTAAAATATATCTGTCATTTTCAACCTTTCTCTCTCTCTTCCTTTCTCTTTAGTTGAATGTCCTAGAAGCAATGCTTCCTCTTTTAGGTGTAGATAGATGTTTCATATCTCCCAACTTCCTAGCAAAAGCATGCTATAAAGTCATAGTTACTGAAGAAAAGTGAATTAAATTTCAGTTCATAAACGATGCTAAGGTACTTATGGGGAGAGTTGGGGATCTTGTTAGGTAAAGCGACAGCAAAAAATTATCCTGATTTCCAGAGGGGTTCATAGATTTCGCTTAAATCAGCAACTCCTCACAGCAGTTGGATTCTACAAGTTTTCTTTTCTAATTCCAGCGTGTTTGTGGCATAGGAGCTCCAGGTAGAAAGTAAACTTGGTCTCTGTGACCACTTGAAAGCATTGTTGGGAGGGTTTTTCTAGAACCTGTTTAATAACGGCCAAGGATTTTTGAAAAATTTGTTGAATGTAGCTTTTATGTTTATTTTATTAGTTGTTGTTTTAGAAATCAACCATAAATTTTGCCATTTGCAATCACCTCTGTGGAAAAACTTTTTTTTCTAACTATAACTAGGGGGCCTTTCCATGTGATCATAGTTGCTGTAATTCCAGCCTCAGACAAGTAGGACAGGAACATAGGAACCCAGAGCCCCTACTGACAGTGGCATTTTAGGCTCCCTGTTAAACACACGGAACTCAAACTAACTAATGTGGCAATCATCCAAGTGCTTAAGGCCCAGGTTTGGCTCATCTGCTGGAGGGCGAATCTTAGTATGACTCGTGTTAGCTGTATGACCATAGCCAAGCTATTTAACTTCCCAGTGTCTCTTCTCCAAAACAGAGAAAAGAAAACTACCCACAGCTTGGGAAAGGTTATGTGAATTAATACATGGAAAAAAAATCACATAATAAGCTCCCAATACTTGTCTATTCTGTGCATAACCTTCCCATTGAGATTATTTCAGTTGGAGGGAAGCAATGATTTCCTTTATGGCTTAAAAATAAAATTTCTTTCCTAAGTGATCTAAT